ACGTAACAAATATAGTATAAAGTTCTTCGCGATAATCCATCTTCTAAATAATGCTGCCACATGAATTCTATTTTTTTAAATGTGCAAACACAAACTTATAATAGAGGCACATAAGGGTACATAACCTAAACCAAGAGGGAGTGCCAACAACTTTTCTGGGCTGCCGTATCCATTCAATATTTTCAAATGTACTTACAATATTCTTGTTCTATAAAAAATTTCAGTCAATTTTTGATTTTTTAAAATGTATTTTTAGATGGTTTTGGAAGGAATCGGCTCTAGCTTGGTCACATTATTGAGGATAGTTTCGTACTTTTGAGCATTGTTAGATGAATTGGACTGATTTTTTTGGCGCGGTTTTAAGGGAATCTGGGGTTAGCCCGAGTCAAAATTAGTCACCTTTCAAAAGTAGATTCTAAAGTTTCTGCCTTCAAAACGTGCAGATATTATGCAACGTTGGACACTTATCCACTATTTCTGGCAAAAATGAAACTATAACAATAAAAAATAATTTTAATTGTTGAAAAATAGCGTGTCAAAGAGTTAGTGAGATCCGTAGACAAAAATACTTACCCAAAAACACTATAATAATTTTTCAGCTGGCTAATGTACTTCTGCGTTTGTCTTGTTTGTTGTCTGTAGTGTTTTCCCAAGGAGAAAATTGGAAAACTTACCCTAAAATGGTAGAAGGCTGCATTCTAAGGACATAACAAGTACTAAGATATACCAATATTGTAGAAGAGTGACATTAAAAATAAGAATATAGCTTGTAATGTATGAAATTTATTTTAAAATGTTTATACAAAATATAACATTTTATTTATACAATCCATCAGATAGTAAAGTATATAAAGCGTTTGTCTTGACTGTAATGTTTAAGAAAATTAGAAAACTTCCCCTAAAATAGTAGAAGGCTGCAGTCTAAAGACATAACAAGTTCTAAGATATACCAATATTGTAGAAGAGTGAAATTAAAAACAAGAATATGACTTGTAATGTATAGAATTTATTTCAAAATGTTTATACAAAATATAACATTTTATTTATACAATCCATCACGTAGTAAAGTATATGAAGCACCGTGATAGTCGCCAGAATTTATTAACATAACAGAAAAATATTCATAATTTCACTAGCATTCTCGCAACTGATGATACCTACCCGTAGATGAAATTGCAATTAGACCACGAAATAAATTCCCTGCTTTGTAACCTTTTACTTTCCACATACACATTCATACCTTGACTAATCAATAAATAATACATCATTTATTTTATATCTTACTAATGGTTCTGTTCTGATTCACTAACACACCTCAAACATTCTAAAACAAATACAGAGGTAGGAGTCGAGTATATTTCGAAGAAAATTCGATTTAGAGTATGATTCAAAATGATATGACGCGTGACAATATTGCAAAAATATTAAAATAAATAGAATAATAAAAACTGAAATTCAATAGAAAATTTCAAAAGTATATTAAAATAGCTGCAAAGTATCTTATTCTTGAAATTCAGGCATTACTGGAAGAAATCTTTTATATTCTCAAATAAAACTAACCAGTGATATACTTTCAGCAATTTCAACATTCCTAAAGTAATATTTTTTTCATTTTTTGTTTCACCTGCATTTCTTTGATTCACTCATTCCATACTATTACATGCAACTTCTTTGACTGAATGAACAACTTCACACATGAATAGAGTTAAAATCTCTCATCGAAATACAAAATATAAGAAAGTGTTTACACCATTTTTTTCCATCAAGTTAAATACGACAATATTTTAACAACATAATGCTTCAACATCTACTTAATATTTAAGTGTAGAATACTTGTTAATTATCCGGAAATGCACTCGAACATTTGGAAACATCGTAAAAAGCGTTATTGCCGCCGCAAATAAAAAATAAATATCAATTCTAAAATTCTAGAAAATATCTCAATATGAAAATACATCCAAATGGAAGTTGAATTTTTTTAAAATTAAAATGCGTGTGAACATTTTCTTGATAAAAGAAAACTTAAGTTTTAAAAATATTTATGAGAGTTAAAATGTTTTTTTTCTCGAGATATCACTAGAAATTTGCAGAAAACTATTTTGTAGATATATCTAACAGTCCTCCTAGACTTCGGTAACAAATTATAAATATTATTGTAAATGATATAAAAACAAAAATGGTAACAATTCATAAGATTATCGCTTATATTTAATGACCGAATGACATTAGGCCTTCAAGACTTTCCGAGTTCATTAAGTCATTGCAATAATTCAATAAATTTCCTCGGCTTGCAGGAACATTCAACCCGCAAAACGCTAGGAAAACAAATCCTTCCACAGGATTTTCGCCCAAAACTGCACTGATCTTCAGACAATAAAGCTGAAATCAGACAGTCATTTTGATATTTAATATAATGGATGCAGATTTGTTTTCGGAACCTGTATCCCGGGCTTGTGTGGCACTCTTAAAGGTCCTTCATTTGCCCGAGAGCAACCGAAAAAGACCTCTCGAGCTATAGAGGCAACATGAAGACAATCCAGGAGTGAATACCTCAGCGGCAGATTCAAGTTTTATGCAACACCTGATAGCAGATCACAGTTTCAGGACAACAACGTACAATGAATCAATTCAATAACTCGAGCGCATTATATCACATTCCAAGTACACAGCGTTTGAATCAGCACTTTGACCGCTGCGTAAATTTTTTTTAAAGTGTGTTCTGGTGTCTGGAATTCATATTAGAGCCCTTAAAATCTTGCGCTCAGAGAACTGCATTTGAAGTCCTCGCTTAGGCCCTTGGGGTACCCCTAAGTGGTCTTCAAGCCGGAGGGAAGTCTATTAGCAGACTAACACATCCATTGTTCGATAAAATAACTACCTAACGTTTCACTACCCAATTGAAGAGCTCGTATTAATCATTTAACCCGTCAATGCGTTGTGTACTTGTGTTAGCATTGCATCGCGGGTGAACGGAAAGGGGCTATGTGCTTCACAGATGGAGCAGGTAGCATGTTCAATACTCTGCAACAGCTCCCTTTCGTCTCCTCACGGCATCCATTCGCAGAAAGTAAAAATTCCGTGACGTCAATTCACAGTGACCCGCGACTTGTGACTCTCTCAAAACGGCATTCCTTATCGTATCGTTAAGAACGAAAAAAACTACATTTCTACCACGTAATGTACAGGGTGCGCCAGAGAAACTTACTTATTTGAAAAAATTCCCGCGCGGTGAGTTGGGCGGTTAGAGGGGCGAGAAGGGGCGTATCTGGAGGGGGAAGTTCCCAAGTTTTTTTCTCCTTCCAGTCAGTTGCCATCATGCTGTGGACTAAAGAGCAGCGGGCCTTCGCAGTCGAGAGCTTCTTTTCTAACGGCACATTATATACTCACCGCGCGGGAATTTTTTCAAATAAGTAAGTTTCTCTGGCGCACCCTGTACAAACTTGAATGTCTGAGCTTGTATCTCGAGCTTTGTGGAAAGCACCTTACCAGACGTGACTTCTTAGCTATACAACTCTCAAAGGGCGCCACGCTATTGTTATCAGTTGGCCATACACCGGCGCGTGTCAGACGGAATCGTACTCGAACAGCATCAACTGATATCGAATACTTGTCACGAATTTGAATTGGACGCCGGAGAAGACTTTAAAGCAGTCACTGGGCACCTTGGACATCCAAACATTTAAAGTGCCCTTTTGATTGTCTATTCTTCATGTCTGAACCGCTGTACAGTAGGTTCACCTTCTGCCTCCTATAGCTACGACCGTACCTTCTTTTGAAGTACGCGCTGGGGATGGCACTACCGATAATAACTGTAAAAGGATTTTTGGTTCTGGTTCACCATTTAATCATTTTCTGTGTCGGTTATAAGCAGTTTTTAAAAAAAATTCAATACCTGGACAAAACTGGCTTTAGGAAAAAGATAAATTAAAGAAAATAATATTCAGAATGTGGTGGTATTTTCTCAAATGCGGATAAATTGCTAACTCTGTTAGCAGACGTCATACTATCCGACATTTTTCTGTTTAGTTTTCTTAGTATTTTACTGATATTCACACACTTTTAAGTAATAATTCAAATATGTTGGATACAATGTGTAAAATCTCTTTGTTGATCTCTATTATATCAAAATATTTTATATTACCCGAGTAACATAAATAAGTGTATTAATGCAAATAATATTGTTGTGCACAAATATTTTATTATGAGAAAAAAATAAACCGAAGCGAAGAGCGATTTTCGATTGTAATAAGTTATTTTAATATTCGGTTATCTTAAACGGTTATAACCGCCAGTTTAAATCAAGGGTGAAGGAACAAAAACCCGTTTACGGTTAACACCAGTTATTTCAAGCAATTCGATCTACTAGGTTAAACCTGAAGGTGAAGGAAAATAATTTAAATCAAAGGTGAAGGAACAAAAACCCGTTTACGGTTAACACCAGTTATTTCAAGCCGTTCGATCTGCCAGGTTAAACCTGAAGGTAAAGGAAAATAATTTAAATCAAAGGTGAAGGAACAAAAACCCTTTTACGGTTAACACCAGTTATTTCAAGCTGTTCGATCTGCCGGGTTAAACCTGAAGATGAAGGAAAAAATCAATTCAAATCAAAGGTGAAGGAACAAACCCCCGTTAACGGTTAAACCCAGTTATTTCAAGCTGTTCGATCTGCCAGGTTAAACCTGAAGGTGAAGGAAAAAATCAAATCAATAGTGAAGGAACAAAAACCGATTACGGTTAAAACCACTTATTTCAAGCAGTTCGATCTGCCAGGTTAAACCTGACGGTAAAGGAAAAATCAATTCATATCAAAAGTGAAGGAATCAAATCAAAGGTGAAGGAACAAAAACCCGTTTACGGTTAAACCCAGTTATTTCTAGCCGTTCGATCTGCCAGGTTAAACCTGAAGGTGACGGAAATAAACACAAGATTATCCGCTTGACAAGTGCCATCCCCCGCCCGCGAACAGGCCCTTGCGGCACGCCGCGCGTCTCCCGTTACGCGCGCGTGTGTCCGGCGGCGGCGGCGTCTTGGTCGCGCGGGGGCGGCGGCGGCGCCAGGGCGGGCGGCTTCTCCCCGACCACGAACACGGGCTGCGGGGGCGGCGCGGGCGACGGCGACGGCGCGGGCGGCGCGCCCCCGGCGTACAGGTGGCGCGCAGCCAGGCTCAGCACCACCATCTCCGCCAGCATCGACGAGTTGTACACCACTGCGAAGCGACACGTTCGAACGCACGTCAGTCAGCGCCAGGCAGAGAGAAGAGAAAGAAAGAGAACTTTGTGCAAGAAAAAAGAGAAAGAGAAATTAGTGCAAGAAAAAAGAGAAAGAGAAATTAGTGCAAGAAAAAAGAGGAAGAGAAATTAGTGCAAGAAAAACCAGAAATTAGTGAAAGAAAAAAGAGAAAGAGAAATTAGTGAAAGAAAAAAGAGAAAGAGGAATTAGTGAAAGAAAAAAGAGAAAGAGAGAAAGTGAAAACGGAAGATAAAGGATCAATGAGAGAAAAAAAGCCATTTGAGGAGCCAAAAGGAGAAAGAGGTAAGGAGAGAAATAGAAACTATTAAGTAAAAAGAATCTCCTCTAACCCTAAGGGGGAGGGGCGCGCTGGGTGCTTACGGTTGGCGCTGGCGACTTCAACCCATCCGGACTCCTCTAATCCTAAGGGTGGAGGCGAAGTGAGCACTCGGTGCTTACGGTTGTCGAAGACGACCTAACCCAACCTGAATCCCCTCTAACCTTCCTCCTACCCTAAAGGGACGGCGCGCTGGGTGCGTACAGTTGGCGTAGACGGCCCAACCCAACCCGAATCTCCTCTAACCCTAAAGGCGGGGGCGGGGCGCGCTGTGTGCTCACGGTTGGAGTAGACAACATATCCCAACCTAACCTCAAGGGTGATGGCGGATCGCATTGTGTGCATACAGTTGGCCTAGACGGCAGCATCCAAACTGATTCCCCTCTAACCCTAAGGCGCGCTGGGTGCTTACGGTTGGCGTAGACGCCCCAACCCAACCTGAATCCATTCTAACTCTAAGGCGCGCTGTGTGCTTACGGTTGGCGTAGACCCCCCAACCCAACCTGATTTCCCACTAACCCTAAGGGCGGGGGCTGAGTGCTTACGGTTGGCGTAGACGGCTTAAGCCAACCTGAATCTCCTCTAACTCTCTTCTACCCCTAAGGGCGGGGGCTGAGTGCTTACGGTTTGCGTAGACGGCTTAAGCCAACCTAAATCTCCTCTAACTCTCTTCTAACCCTAAGGGCGGGGGCTGAGTGCTTACGGTTGGCGTAGATGACCCAACCCAACCTGATTCCCCACTGACCCTAAGGGTGGGGGCTGAGTGCTTACGGTTGGCGTAGACGGCTTAAGCCAACCTGAATCTCCTCTAACTCTCTTCTACCCTTAAGGGCGGGGGCTGAGTGCTTACGGTTGGCGTAGACGACCCAACCCAACCTGATTTCCCACTAACCCTAAGGGCGGGGGCTGAGTGCTTACGGTTGGCGTAGACGACCCATCCCAACCTGATTCCCCACTAACCCTAAGGGCGGGGTCTGTGTGCTTACGGTTGGCGTAGACGACCCATCCCAACCTGAAGGCCCTCTAACCCTAAGGGCGGGGGCTGAGTGCGCTTACGGTTGGCGTAGACGACCCATCCCAACCTGAAGGCCCTCTAACCCTAAGGGCGGGGGGCTGTGCGCTTACGGTTGGCGTAACGACCTAACCCAACCTGATTCCCCACTAACCCTAAGGGCGGGGGGCTGAGTGCTTACGGTTGGCGTAGACGGCCGGCGAGAGCGGCGGCCGGCAGGGCAGCGCGTGCGCCCACACGAGCGAGCGCGCCGCCAGCCCCTGCGCCTTGGCCAGCAGCAGCACCGCCTGCAGCGCCAGGAACTTGGCCTTGGAGCGCCGCCCCTCCAGCGGCTGCGCCAGCGCGCGCATCGCCATGCTCAGCGCCCACACGCCCGTCAGGATGCTCACCACCACCACCGGCTGCACGTACATGTAGTTCACCTGGTACAGGCTCTGCAACCACAGTCACGCTTACTTTACTCGTGGCCAATATGCTCTACATTACTCAATACACACATATCACCCTCAGTGTATACAATATATACAATATATACATATATACATATATACATATATACATATATACATATATACATATATACATATATAC